AAATTTTCTGTGTATATTTATTTGTGTGCCCCGGAGCCCCTTCAGATCGAAGGGCATGAGAGGGGGGGAATGCCAAGGGCACGCGAGGGGTCGACAATGGAGGCGGGCAGGGTCGCCCCAGCCGTCGACGATCACATTAACCCAACGATGTTTCACCCGCAGTCGGCAATACTGCCACGATGAACCCACATCCTTGCAGAATTCAGTCCGCAACTTCGTTGACCACATGTGCACATTGTTCATATGTAAGTTTTCGCATGTTCTTTAATGTTCTGGGGGGCAAGATCCTTTCATTTCTAATTGTTCTATCCTGGGCCTCTTCCTGGCCACGAGGGGCCCAGGAACAATCAGAAACGAACACAAGTAGAAATGAACGCGATTAGACATGAACGACGTGTACATATCCATGCACGACATCTTCTGGCAGTGGCTGTGGGGGCCCTGGCTTGCGAGGTGGGCCGCACGACGTTGAATCCATATATCATCGAAGAACTGAGGGCTACACATGTTCTGGTGGACTGGACGTAATGACCCAGATTTCCGTGGAGGACGTTGACAACGGATTGAAACCAATCTGGTTTTTGGATCGTGGAATGTCGACGACCTCACGGGGGCCAGGCTGGAGGAGCTGCAGATGCACATGGAGTCGCTGGGCATCGACGCGCTCGCAATCCAGGAGACACACAAGTACGAGTCAGTATATTACGCCACGGAGCGTGGATTATTGGTGATCTTGTTTGGGAGCCCAGACGGCGAAGAGACTGCTGGAGTTGGCTTCCTTGTGTCTCCAACTGCACGCCAGAGCCTGATAGGATTCAATCTGATGTCTTCCAGGGTTGTTTACTTGACGTTGCGTGTCCGGGGAGGGGAAATCCCAGTCTTCAGCGTGCATGCCCCCCACAGCGGGAAGCCGGCGGAGGATTGCAGATAATTACTTAACAGCGATCGACGACTGATAGGTTTCTAATGGGGTCAAAAGAGAGCATCTGATGACTCCCCAGGGGGGTCTGGGCGGGAGCCGGACAGGCGAGGGCCGGGCTCGTTTTAATCAAACAGTCACACACTTCGTGTTCTTCGACCTCCCAGAACTCCACTCCCGGGCCACATTTTGAATGCCCGGAGCCAACTGTAGGCCACTTCGTGCTCTTCGACTTCCCAGAACTCCATTCCCGGGCCACATTTTGGATGCCCGGAGCCAACTGTAGGCCACTTCGTGCTCTTCGACTTCCCAGAACTCCATTCCCGGGCCACATTTTGAATGCCCGGAGCCAATTGTAGGCCACTTCGTGCTCTTGGACTTCCCAGAACACCATTCCCGGGCCACATTTTGAATGCCTGGAGCCAACTGTAGGCCACTTCGTGGTCTTCGAGTTCCCAGAACTTTATTCCCGGGCATGATTTTGAATGCCTGGAGCCAGCTGTAGGCCATTTCGTGCTCTTCGAGTTCCCAGAACTCCATTCCCGGGCATGATTTTGAATGCCTGGAGCCAACTGTAGGCCATTTTGTGGTCTTCGAGTTCCCAGAACTCCACTCCCGGGCCACATTTTGCGTCCGGGAGCCAACTGTAAGCCAGTTCGTGTTTTTCAGTTCCCCGAACTTTATTCCCGGGTCACATTTTGAATGCTGAGGCAGGCTGATGCTGAGGGTGAGGCAGGCTGAGGCGGAGGCAGGCTGAGGCTGAGGCCGAGGCTGAAGGCAGACTGAGGGTGAGGCTGAAGCAGGCTGAGGCTGAGGCTGAGGCAGGCTGAGGCTGAGGCTGAGGCAGGCTGATGCTGAGGCTGAGGCTGAGGCCGAGGCTGATGCAGGCTGAAGCTGAGGCACGCTGAGGATGAGGCCGAAGCTGAAGGCAGACTGAGGCTGAGGCTGAAGCAGGCTGAGGCTGAGGCTGAGGCTGAGGCTGAGGCAGGCTGAGGCTGAGGCTGATGCAGGCTGAGGCTGAGGCAGGCTGAGGCTGAGGCTGAGGCTGACGGCAGGCTGAGGCTGAGGCAGGCTGAGGCTGAGGCTGAAGGCTGAGGCTGAGGCTGAGGCCGAGGCTGAGGCTGAGGCTGAGGCAGGCTGATGCTGAGGCAGGCTGAGGCTGAGGCTGAGGCTGATGCAGGCTGAGGCTGAGGCAGGCTGAGGCTGAGGCCGAGGCTGAAGGCAGACTGAGGCTGAGGCTGAAGCAGGCTGAGGCTGAGGCTGAGGCAGGCTGAGGCTGAGGCTGAGGCTGAGGCTGAGGCTGAGGCTGAGGCTGAGGCTGAGGCTGAGGCAGGCTGAGGCAGAGGCTGAGGCTGAAGGCTGAGAGGCAGGCTGAGGCTGAGGCTGAGGCTGAAGCAGGCTGAGGCTGAGGCTGAGGCAGGCTGAGGCTGAGGCTGAGGCATGAGGCTGATGCTGAGGCAGGCTGAGGCTGAGGCTGAGGCTGCAGGCTGAGGCTGAGGCAGGCTGAGGCTGAGGCCGAGGCTGAAGGCAGACTGAGGCTGAGGCTGAAGCAGGCTGAGGCTGAGGCTGAGGCAGGCTGAGGCTGAGGCTGAGGCTGAGGCAGGCTGAGCTGAGGCAGGCTGAGGCTGAGGCTGAGGCAGGCTGATGCTGAGCTGAGGCTGAGGCCGAGGCTGCTCAGGCTGAAGCTGAGGCACGCTGAGGATGAGGCCGAGCTGAAGGCAGACTGAGGCTGAGGCTGAAGCAGGCTGAGGCTGAGGCTGAGGCTGAGGCAGGCTGAGGCTGAGCTGATGCATGCTGAGGCTGAGGCAGGCTGAGATGGGCCGAGGCCGACGGCAGGCTGAGGCAAGAGGCTGATGAGGCAGCTGACTGAGGTTGAGGCTGAGGCTGATGCTGAGGCTGAGGCTGAGGCAGGCTGAGGCTGAGGCCGAGGCAGACTGAGGCTGAGGCTGACTGAGGCTGAGGCTGAGGCAGCAGGCTGAGGAGGCAGGCTGAGGCTGAGGCTGAGGCAGGCTGAGGCTGAGGCTGAGGCTGAGGCTGAGGCAGGCTGAGGCTGAGGCAGAGGCAGGCTGAGGCTGAGGCTGAGGCAGGCTGAGCTGAGGCTGGCTGAGCTGAGGCAGGCTGATGCAGGCTGAGGCTGAGGCAGGCTGAGGCTGAGGCCGAGGCTGAAGGCAGACTGAGGCTGAGGCTGAAGCAGGCTGAGGCTGAGGCTGAGGCAGGCTGAGGCTGAGGCTGAGGCTGAGGCAGGCTGATGCTGAGGCAGGCTGAGGCTGAGGCTGAGGCTGAGCAGGCTGAGGCTGAGGCAGGCTGAGGCTGAGGCCGAGGCTGAAGGCAGACTGAGGCTGAGGCTGAAGCAGGCTGAGGCTGAGGCTGAGGCAGGCTGAGGCTGAGGCTGAGGCAGGCTGATGCTGAGGCAGGCTGAGGCTGAGGCTGAGGCTGATGCAGGCTGAGGCTGAGGCAGGCTGAGGCTGAGGCCGAGGCTGAAGGCAGACTGAGGCTGAGGCTGAAGCAGGCTGAGGCTGAGGCTGAGGCAGGCTGAGGCTGAGGCTGAGGCAGGCTGAGGCTGAGGCAGGCTGAGGCTGAGGCTGAGGCTGATGCAGGCTGAGGCTGAGGCAGGCTGAGGCTGAGGCTGAGGCTGAGGCTGAGGCCGAGGCTGAAGGCAGACTGAGGCTGAGGCTGAAGCAGGCTGAGGCTGAGGCTGAGGCTGAGGCAGGCTGAGGCTGAGGCTGAGGCAGGCTGATGCTGAGGCAGGCTGAGGCTGAGGCTGAGGCTGAGGCTGAGGCTGAGGCAGGCTGAGGCTGAGGCCGAGGCTGAAGGCAGACTGAGGCTGAGGCTGAAGCAGGCTGAGGCTGAGGCTGAGGCAGGCTGAGGCTGAGGCTGAGGCTGAGGCTGAGGCTGAGGCTGAGGCTGAGGCTGAGGCTGAGGCCGAGGCTGAAGGCAGACTGAGGCTGAGGCTGAAGCAGGCTGAGGCTGAGGCTGCGGCAGGCTGAGGCTGAGGCCGAGGCTGAAGGCAGTCTGAGGCTGAGGCTGAAGCAGGCTGAGGCTGAGGCAGGCTGAGGCTGAGGCTGTGACTGCGACTGCCGTGGCCACTGCGACTGCCATCGCGAATTCGACTACGACTGCGAGAACAGGAGAATTCTACAACAGGATTATCATTTGAATCTTAAGGGGAATGCTTCCAGATATGCTCCTACACATCGCTGTTAGGTTGTTTTGCCGGGATAATTTTGTCGAGATATGGGCGGAATAATCTCCAGAACGCTGGGAAACAGCTGGGCACTGTTATTGGGGGACTTCAACGCAAGGATACACCGGCGGTGTTGTTCGGAATCTTGCCACATTGGTGATTTGATTTTTGGCGAGCCAGCGGCGCATTCCAAGGCAGATTCCTAACCGGAGTTCTTTGCTCAATTTCTGCATCTGCCATGGGCTTGTCATCGCAAGCGCGTTCTTCGAGCACGGTCCAGGTCACCAGGTGACCTGCTACAACGTCGGTTTTCACCCTTCCGACCCGCTGCTGTTTCGACACTTCGGGCATGTCGACTTTCTATTATGCCCGCGGCATCTGCTGCAGAGCGTGGTGGACGTGGAGAGCCGCAGAGCAGCCTTGTTTTCGAACCATTTCATACTCCATTGCAAGCTCAAGATATCCTCGGAAGCTAAGCGCGAGGCCGGGGGGCAGCGGCTGGACCACGCAGCCCTGGCCGACGCCACTGTGGCTCAGAACTTCAGCGACAGCTTCGCGGAACACATGGCTAAGAACAGCACGCCGCAGGATTCATAACCAGCTCAACGACAACATCAAATCAAGGCATCGGTCAAGGCAGATCGAGAAGCTTGGCTCGACAGTCGATCAGCCGACGGCGACTGGGCCGAGGTGAGAAAACTGAAAGATCCAGCCGCGGCCCATGGGGCAAGGAAGGATTCCAATGGCCGCCTCCTAGACATCGACCAGAGAGGAGAAGCGTTGGCAGAATACTTTGCCATAGTGCAGCGGGCGTTGCGTCCGACAACGTTTGTGGGTAACTTGGACCCTCTGGGAAAGGAGCTCGGCATTTCCGGCGACCCCATCACTCAGGCGGAGATGTGCCGAGTCGCCCGCGGGCTGAAGTGCGATCGCGCTGCCGGAGCAGATGGCGTCTCTCAGGGATGCCCGCTGTCACCATTCCTTTTCTCGATCGCCATGTCCCTGCTGATGCATGACGCACAAGCAGATTTCCAGAACGAGGGCTTCCAATCGACGGGCGGCTTCCCGGCCGGCGGGCTCATCTGCGCGGACGACACGGTCGGGTCGACCGCCGACTGCGTCGGCGCCCTGATGCAGGCCATCCAAGAGAAATGCAAGAACGATGGTTTTGCCTCCGACAGAGATCAGTTGGAAACTTTGCCCGTACGCTGCGAAGCGGACATTCGCAGGCCCGACGGCGCGCAGATCCTGGAGAAGGATAGCATGGTGTATCTTGGAGGCTTTTTGGATTCTTCGGGCTCCAGCGGAGCAGAACTGAGCAGGAGGATTTGCATGGCTCACAGAAGTTCGCACGCTCTTTGCAACATTTGGACACATTCTCGTTTGCTTCTACAGGAAAAAAGGTTGCCATACTTGAAGCCTGCGTCGTCGCTAAACTAATGTACTTTTTTCATACGATGTGGCGCGACGTTTCTGACAGCAGCTAGCTTGACGCTTGTCAAGCGCGGCGCTTGCGCAGAATGGCCGGCATCGGCCGCTCCTATTACAGCCGCGTCTGCAACGCGACCGTTTTGCAGACCTGCGGTTGTTGCAAGCTCAGCGCCACGCTTGCGTACAGGCAGGTGTGCCTGTTGGGTCGGATCGCAGCTCTCCAGAACGACAGCCCCGTTCGGTTGTGCGTATTCTTTCAGGGATAAAAGGCCCCCGTAAGAGGGGACAGCCAACAAAAAGATGTGGAAACGGAACGTCCATGAGTTGGCCGTCAGAGCGGCGGGAAACAGCAACGCGCTGCACGACATTCTACAAGGCCCGCCAGGCACGTTGCAGGTAGCTGCCAGGCGGTTCTTTTCTCTTTTTTGTTTCGAGTCGTTGTTGTATAGATTGTGTATTAAAAATCTTGTGTTTTAGGGGATGAGCTATCCGAGGTGGAATATTGAATCATCTCCTCCGCCCGCCTGGCTTCCAGGTTGTGTCGTCCCCCCCTCCTCCGCCGTCCTGCGTCGTTCCTCTGCCTGCTGCCCCCTCCCGCTCGTCCCCAGGGCTGTCGCCCCTCCCCCTTCCTGGGTGTCGTCCCGCGTCGTTCGCTCTCCTCCCTCCCCCGGCCCCGGGTTTGTCCTGGTCCCCGGGTTTCGTTCCCACCTCTGCCTCCTGCTGCCGTTGCTCTCCCAGGGGGCCCATGTCGAGGGGGATGTGCATGTATAAGTTTTCAGGCGCGCCTTGTCCACAGTGTTGACGACCATGGGGTGTTCGAAGTGTTGCGCGGCGTCCGGCTGCCGTCGGGTCGGCGCCAGTCTTCTTGCCCATGCACCTCTGACGTGCATGGCGTCTTTTTCAGTGTAATTACCGTTCAGCGGCTGCGCCTCGCCGAGAGCGTTTCGGGGGTGCCACGACGGTCCTGAACGCCGCCAGAGGCCCGAGTTATGAGCCGAAAACCGGAGGGGGGGACCAGGGTCGGAGCCGAACATCAGGGGCAATGTTAGTGGGGGATAGGCTAGGGGGGGAATGCGTCGACCCCCAGTCACCCATTGATCGCCGCAGGGGTCTGATAGCCCCACCCCATCCAGGAACGCTCGGCTTCAGCATCGGCGGCATGTCGCCGATGCGTCGGCGGCGTATCGCCGATTCCAGGTCGATGTTCCCCCCCTGTGGCAGTCCCCCCCCCTATCGTTGCCCCTCAAGGGCAGAGCGGCCCAGAAGATTGGGGTCGTCCAGGGGCCCAGATCTTCGCCGATCGTGTCAAGCGCGGCGTTTTTTCTTTGACTTCGACCCCTACGGCCCGTCATCGGGCCACGGGACCATCAAACGTTGATCCGGGGCGAGAAACTGGCCCCGCGGAAGGGAGAATTGGGGAGCCTCTGGGGCCGCGGGGAAGCTTTGCCTGCATCCTTCTGCCAACATGACAGAGCAGCGGCTTCGTGGGAGTCACCTGTGGATAAGTGGAGCTCCGCGCAAGTAGTGCCGTTGTTTCTGCACCGATGTTGTCGGGTTTCGCCCTGCTTGCGCGCCGTCAGGCGTAAGGCTTACGCTCGCTCGCTCGCTCGGTGGGGCCGCGGGCGTTTTCTTCGGTTCTCGGCGGTCTTCCAGCGTCGGGGTGCTCTCTTCAGCAGCTGCTCCCTGCCGAGACAGCGTTTCTCGGATAACGGAGGAGGAGGAGACTTCTTGGGAGCCTCTTGGGGGATGAGGAGGAGGAGGAGGAGGAGGAGGAGGAGGAGGAGGAGGCCTCTTGGGAGCCTCTTGGAGCACTCTTGGATGTGTGCAGGGCGTGCCGCACGGCCGCTCTAAGAGGCCAAGCCAGGAGGTCGTTCACGGCGAGCCTGGCCCCAGGACAGGCCCGTGGTTGTTCCTCCGATGCGATTCGACCTGATTTCGACGGCTCCTCCTCCTCCTCCTCCTCCTCCTCCTCCTCCTCTTCCTCCTCCTCCTCCTCCTCCTCCTCCTCCTCCTCCTCCTCCTGTCCTCGATTCCCGACCTGATTTCGACGGCTTCCCGATTCCGATTCGATTCGACTTCGGGTTCCGGCGTGAGCTCAGATGTTTCAGCGGAGGCCTACCAGCCTGCCGATCTCCGCCGGTTCGACTTTCCCGGCTCGGGTGCCGATTTGCGCCGTTCCGATTCAATTCGATCGCCGATCCCTTGGCATCGCTCGGATGTGTGCATTTTTCCATCGGCGAGGACCATCGAGGAGCATTCTTGACCACTTGGCGAACAATAACACTCACGAAACCGAAAAAAACACAGGGAATGGACGTCCGAGCGATGGCCAGATCCGGTTTATCGATCCGGTTCTGGGCTCTCCTGCCCCAGGGCGGGCCAGTACAGAGTCGGTGTAGGTTGTGAGTGTGCAGCCGTCGCCCTCTGCCTCAGACTCTCCCGCGCGAGAGGGCTGTGGGCAAGCGGCCGAGTGCCGACGTCCTCGCCCTCCTCCTCCTCCCCCTCCTCCTCCTCCTCCTCCTCCTCCCTCTCCTCCTCCTACTCCTCCTCCTACTCCTGCACCTCCACCTCCTCCTCCTCCTCCTCCTCCTCCTCCTCCTCCTTCTTTCCTCCTCCTCCTCCTCCTCCTCCTCCTCCTCCTCCTCCTCCTCCTCCTCCTCCTCTCCTCCACCTCCTCCTCCTCCTCCATTCCTTCTCCTTACAAATAACTTCTCCCTGTCGCTACCCGAGGCAAGTTTTGGGGCGGGCTGGGCGTTTCGCTTGAGACTTCCTCACCATTCATGACCCTGAAGCTCAACAGCTTCACAGGTGAAGGGCGGGTGGTCTTCAAAATGTGGCTTTCGCCTTAGCGTTGCGCACAGTCGGTCTAAAAGTTGCAGAAAGCTCACGAGTTGAGGGCAGGTGGTTTTCAAAAAGTAGCTCTCGCCGTAGCGCCGCGCACATTCTGAAATCAAACGCAAGAGCATGACGGCTTGAGGGCCACCCGTTTTCAAAATGTGGCTCTCGCCTTAGCGCCGCGCACATTCGCTTTAAACATGTGCAAGAGTTTCACGGATTGAGAGCGGTTCCTTTTCAACATGTGGCTCTCGCCTTAGCGTACCAGATGTGGCGTTTTGGAAGGATTCCGAATTAGAAGGGTGCAATAGTTACGTTGATTCGCAGTGTTGAAGTCCATTGAAAATGCGTTGCGGCACGATTCAGGATCGTCAAGACGCAACACTCAGGTTGATCCGCGGCGTTGGAATCCCGAAAACAATGTTTTGGCATGCTTCCGTGCCTTCCAACGGTTGTCTTCCAACGAGGCAGTTCCCTCAGTGTAGATGGACTCTCGTACGGGCTTGTGAAGAGGGAGATTGGAGGGAGGGTTTGTTCCAACGTCGTTGATGACTCTTGGGTTTACACTGGTTCTCCTCCTCGTCCTCCTTGTCCCTGTCCTCCTCCTCCTCCTCCTCCTCCTCCTCCTCCTCCTCCTCCCCCTCCTCCCCCTCCCCCTTCTCCTCCTCCTCCGTCCTCCTCCTCCTCCCCCTCCTCCTCCTCCCCCTTCTCCTCCTCCTTCTCCTCCTCCTCCTCCTCCTCCTCTCCTCCTCCTCCTCCTCCTCCTCCTCCTCCTCCTCCTCCTCCCCCTCCTCCTCCTCCTCCTCCTCCTCCTCCTCCGCCGTCCTCTCCCTCCTCCGCCGTCCTCTCCGCCATCGTTCGCTTCCTTCTGTTACAGAAGTGGTGCCTCGGCCCTGCACGCGCACCGCGCTTCGGTGCCTGTGGCGCACGCGCCCTCTGGCGGCCCCCTGGGTCGCGGCGTCGGCCCTCCGCGGCCACTGATTTGCCACGGATCCCTCTGCCGCTGCTCGCCTCCTCCACCCGCCCACGGCCCCTCCTCGCCGAGTATCGGGCCGAACGAAAGGGGGGGATACAGCCAAGACGCTGAAATAAGGAACAGCTTGGATGCGGAAGGGGCTCGATGTTCCTTACGTCCTTCCGCGGTTGTTCCTCTAGCCCTTCTCGTGCACCCAAGCTTTTTGGAAGCCACAGAGGGGCTTCGTTTCTTATTTAGCTTTCCTTCTTTCAGCAGCCCGACTGTAGGGAAAGGGGGGGGATACGAAATCTGCCACATGCAGCCGGTTTCAGCCCCACTGAGGGGCCCGTGCCTCGATACGTGGCCGCCTCCGGCGCTGGGAGGCGCTGGGGAAATCAGCCGTGTGAGCTGATTCTCAAACCCCTCCTTTGCTGTCCCCCCTTTCGCCCGGCCCAAGAGTAACGCAGGAACCCGCTGCCACTGGCTGCCTGTTGCCCACGCGCCGATCCCGGGAGTGCAGGTGGCGGCGTTGGGCGCCAATTTCTCTTCCCAGATCTCGCCGAGCAGCGCCAGAGCCTGCTGCCACTGCCGTCCCTTCTCGTTCGCGCTGATCCCCGCGGTGCAGCTGATGACATTGGGCTGCAACTCTGGATCCCGCAATCCGCTGAGCAGGGCAGCAACTCGCTGCCGCTGCCCGCCTTTCCAGCGCTCGCTGATCCCAGTACTGTAGCCATCCTCCTCCGCCTCCTCCCACTCCTTACCTTTCCCCACGTCCACCTCCTCCGTGTCCCCGCCGTCCTCCCAGCCATCCTCTCCCGTGTCCGGCTATCTCTGCCTTGGACTCTCTCGCTCCAGGGCGGCGGAGAGGCGGCCCAGCACCCCCTTCGGCCTCCCCGCACCCCTGCCGGTTGGCTTCCCACGCCGGAGGGGGACGCCCTGTCGCCCGAGAGCTCCGCCGACGACCAGGCAGCCGACCGCGTGCTCGACGCGCTGCTGCCCCAGATCCGCTGGGGCCTGCAGTGCGCCTTGGATCCCGGAGGGACGGAACGCGGGGATGATCGGGCGTTGCGCAGCGGGGTCAGAGGAGGGAAAGGTACCGATACCGCTGTACTTGCCTCGTTCCAGCCGTGTTGGGCCTCCTGGGAGGCCCTCGTTGCCACGGCTGGATTCCCTACGAAATTCTGATTAGAACGCACCCTGGGGGAGGTCCAGGAAGTATTGGTGTGTATATACTTGTTGGCTTTCCCCTGGATGGGGCAAAAGCCAGGGGGGTGAAGAAAGGTGAAACCCTCGTGCACCTTCAAGGCCCTGGGGGGGCCCACTCGAGGGGCGTCCTCAGGGCCCCTCCTGCATCCCTCGTGCCCGCTCGCCCGCGCGCTTAGAAGCTATCTGCGTCAATTAATCAGCGAGTTGAGAAGGAAATGTTCCGCCTTTTCGACCGCCGGCGGCCATTCGAATACGGGCTTGTCAAACGCGCGTGCCAAATGAGACTCCGGGGATCAGGCTACCGTGTCCGAGATGCGAAACGCGATATCACTTTCCGTTTCTCGGTCCTCGCCCAACACCCGGTTGGAGAGTTCCCCCCCCCTACCCACTGCATCTCCGCTGCCACTGCGAGACGCCCTACATGAGGTGGGGATCCCCCCAGAGCTGGCCCTCCTCGGCGCTCCCTCCTTATTATTCGCCCGCTGGGTTCTGGCCGCGGGTCCGTCCAACAGGGCGGCTCGGAATTCGAGTAGGGGATCGACTACAGAATTGACTTACACCAGGATTAGGTGTCTCGTCGAATCTAAGGAAAAATACTCAGAGTCTTCAGTAGGTGCACGAGCGTTCTACGCATTCGTCGTAGCTTCGATGGGGGAAATCAATTCGGGGGTAAATCAGTTCCGTAGTCGATCCTCTTCTTGAGGAGTTGGTAGCCGATTCCAGGGAGTCGTGTCAAGGGCTCCAGGGGGCTCGCGACTCCCTGCTGTGCGCCCCCGAAACCAGGGTCACCAGACCACGGTGGAGATTGGTTGGTAGGTCGACCCGGTGCCCTTGCGCCCCCTGCAACTCGAGTAGAGGATCGACTCCAGAATTGGTTTACCCCCGAATCGATTTTCCCTCGAACTTACGAACAAGACGTAGCATGTTCGTAGACCTGCGGATTATTCCACGCACTTTCCGTAGATTTGACGAACAAATCAGTTTGGGGGCAAATCAATTCTGTAGTCGATCCCCTACTCGAGTTACGTGTCCCCGTCCTGTGCTATCCGTGGGGAGTGCGGACCTCGGCAGGGACTCGTGTCTTCCGCGTGCCATCTCCAGCCGAGCTCGACTGCAAAGTGCCAATCGGGGGAGGGAAGCCACCAGGGCCCCATAACATGCGCATTTGCGAAGCAGTCCTGAGCGCTTCCTGTATATAGGCAAGGGGCTCGTGCCTTCCGCGTGCCCTCTCCAGCCGAGCTCGACTGCAAAGTGCCAGTCTGGGGAGGAGAGCCACCAGGGCCCCATAGCATGCGTATTTTTGCACAGCAGCACCGAGTGTTTCCTGTATATGTAGGCCTGCCCTGCTCGGTTCCTGCGGCTCCTTCCTCGGGCACGTTCCATCAAGAAAGGGCTTCGCCGGAATGAGGGGGCCCATTATGAGGATGGCTTTTTCTGACCCCAGCGAGGAGCATGAACATGAACTGTTAGAGGCCCGCTCTGCTTTGTTGGGGCGGCGCTGGACCCTCCTTCCCCATGGCGCGCGGAACGCGTCAGGGGCGGCGCCAGAGGCGCCGCCAGGGAGAGGGGTCACAGCGTCGACCCAAGGAACCCGCGCAGTGTGCCAACCGTTTGCCCCTCACCTGGCAAGCTGGGGCTCTCGGAGTGAAGGAGAAAAGCGCTCCCGACCCGCCCTCCCCACCCTGCACTCCGCGGTCGCCCTGCCCAACGCGCGCGGGTGCTCCCTGGGTGTCGCGCCTAGCTCAGGAGGGAAAAGAACACACACAGACACAATGAATCGTCGATTTCCCAGAAAATGTAGGAAAATATGCGAATTGGGGGGGGAGACAAAAACCCAGAAAATATGGGAAAACATGGGGAATCTTTTAATTTGTGTGTATTTATTTGTGTGTCCCAGGGCCCCTTCACTAGCACCTTCGACGAAGGACCACCGCGGCCGCGAGGCCCAGAGTGTGCTTGGCGCTCCCTGGGCATCCCGCCGCGCGCTCTTGCGCGGGGATCTCTCGAAGCACAAGCTCGTGGGCGACACACGTACGTGTCTCCGTTGCTTCGCGGGCCGGGGGCCCTGGGCCGCGACCTCGCGGATGCGGGGCGTGTGCTCGCGGATGTCCCGCACGGAACGTATCGGTGCGACCGAGCCTCCGCGGGATCGTGCCTTGGAGCCAGCGCGCGATGGCGCGGATACGGACATGTTCGCCGCTCGTGAGAGCCAGTATGCAGTGTTCTGTTCGTTCGAGGACCCCTGGGGGACTGCGCTGCTGAGCAGCGAGAGCGGCGACCTGCCGGACATTCGTCAGGCCATCGTGCGCGCCACCGTGGCGCTGTGCGCCGGCGAGAGGCGGGGGGACACCGCGTGCATCGGTGCGTTCCGGGAGCATGCGGTGTTCGAGGGCTTCGCCGAGGCTCGCTTGCAATCAAGAAACCCAGATTTCCGAGGATCTGCTGTTTTTTTTGATTTTGGCGTTGTGCCTCGATCGGGGCCTCCGGGGACCGTTGCCAGGCCCTGGGGTTCAGTCGGGCAAGTCCATCTACAGGCCGAAAATTCCAAAATTGCCAAAAAATAGTCTAGGAACGATTTTTCCATGATTTTTTGACCACGTTTGAGCATTTTTGTGAACCTTATATTTTTCTGAGAAAACCGGCCAGTAGGGGCACATGCCCAACATAACCCTGGGGCCAGCAGAGATGGAGCCGGAGCGAAGCACCGGCCCCGATGGAAGGGGTCGGGACCTTTGGGGCAGTGCGTTGCACAAAGCATCTCGTCGGATGTCTGGGAGCGGGCCCCGAGGTGTTCGGCCCCCCGAGGCTCTCCACGCACGCAGCACATCGTCGGAAGTCTGGGAGCGGGTCCTGAGGGAAACGGGTTGGGACGTTTTCCGCAGTGCTCGGCCCTCCGAGGCTGTCCCACGCACGCAACACATCGTCGGAAGTCTGGGGAAACGGGGACGCTTTTCGCAGTGCTCGGCTCCCCGAGGCCCTCCCACGCACGCAGCACATCGTCGGGAGCCTGGGAGCGGGTCCTGGGGGAAACGGAAACGCTTTTCGCGGTGCTCGGCCCCCCGAGGCCCTCCACGCACGCCAGGGGGGCTGTCCATGGGCAGCCAATCAGCTCGCGGCGAGAGGCTGGCCCTGGGACAAAAAAGAAGCCCCGGGGCCCAGGGCCTTCTTGCCCGAGGAACCGTTTGCGTCCTGCCATTCAGTCGGGCCTGTCCCTCTACAGGAGGAGTAGTAAAAAAAGGTGAAACAATAGTCGGGGGACGGTTCTTGTGTATTTTTAGCCATTTTGGTTCATTTTTCGACAATTTTTTTTCATTTTTCGTCCAACGTCTCCCTGTGGGAGGACAGGCCCGACTGAATCCTGCCAGCGAGGTGCTCCAGGCCGAGGCATCCCCGGTGCCCCTGAGGCTGCAGGTCATGCAGTCGATCTCGGCCCTGATAGAGGGCGTCCAGCTCCAGCCATCCATGGGCTACCTCATCAGCGAGTGCCTGAACCGCGTCTTCGAGTGCCCGCCCAGCTTGTCCGACGAGGAGGTGGCGGCGCACTTCGTGACCATCTTGAGGCTTAGGCCTTTCAAATCTGCCCCGGGTAGATGGGGTCGGAGGACCGTGCCGCAACGCCGATGCACCGGCAATGCGGCTCGATGTGGAGCCCAGCTTCCTCCACGCCGACCTCGCTGGTCCATGCATCGCCGACGTCGCCACTGCGTTAACGATGTATCGGCGATGCATCGGCGACGCGGCGCGATCCTCCGACCTCGTCTACTTGGGTCCCATCTGGGAGGCCTCCATAAGGCAACTCGCCCTGAAGCTGAGCACTGCGAGCGCGCAGGCCCTCCTGGTTACCGTGCCCGAGCCAGGGACGACAGGTTTGAGTCCTGCGGTGTCTGGCGCCTCCGGCAGCAGCACTCGGACGCATATGCCCATGTTCACTTGCGCCGTGGGACTCATGACGCACCGCGAGCCGATGGTCCAGATTGCGGCTCGCATCGCGATCTTGCATGTCCTCAGTTTCGACTGCCAGAGCGTCAGGGACGCCGTCCACGAGACCGTCGCTCGCGACCTTGCGCCCTTGGTCGTCAGGATCTCCCGCTGCCCCGAGGCGCTGCGGGAGCTCGTCGAGGCCAAGGCCAGGTGCCAGTGGAGGCAGAGCGGCAAGCGCCTGAGGCGGTGCCGCCAGTGGAGCCGCCAGCTGACGCCGGCGGAGGCCGTCGTGGACCTGCGCGCCCAGCGAGAGGACGTCCCCGTGGTGCTGTATTCCGCCCTCTCTGGCGAGCGCGTCCGCTACGAGGGGATCGCGGGCGCCGCCGCGGCCCTGGAGGACGCCATGCACCAGGATCGCGAGGACTTTGCCGGCTTCCTCTTGCAGCTGCTGGATCTCGGCATTCCCGACGGCCATCCTGGGCAACGTTAGGTCGGGGTAGATTCAGGGCGGGACGCATCGTCCCCCAACCGCCCACTGATCGCGGCCCAGTAATCACTCCATCCAGGAACGTGCGGAGTTGTCATCGGGGGTACATCGCCGATCTCGCGGCGATGTGCCGCCGATACCAGGTCGACGTTTCCCCCTCTGAGAGCCAACTCCGCCTTCACGGTGCCCCATGAGGCTATGCCCGACACCCGGTCCACGAGTGCTTGCACAAGGCCGGCCTCGACCCTGACATCCGCGACGCCCTGGGGGACGCCCCGGCGCTGATGCGGCACATGCAAAGGCGCGAACAGGAGATCAGCGTAGGAAGAGGTACCCATACCGCTAACCCTTGCCTCGTTGTCCCCTTTTTGGGCCTCCTGGGCAGCCCTCGTCGCCACGACTGGATTCGCCTCGCAATGCTGGTGAGAATGCCCCCGTGGGAGAGACCCAGGGAGTAGCGGTATGAGTACCTTACTGTTCCCCCAGGAGAGTTTCAGACATTTGGGCGGGGTGGCGGTCGTGGGCGCCTTGGCGGGAGGCGTCACGCTGGGGACATCGCGGGACAAAAACCCAGCACACACCATACGGTCAGGGGCGTTTGCTTGGCCTGTCGCGCCGCCAGTTCTGGCCCACCGTGCTGCGGCGCGACGCTAGCCACGCTCCGGTCCCCAAGCGTCAAGCGCGCACGTCCCGAGCTGGTCTCCGCCTCCCGCCCAGCGGAGCGGCCGCACGCTATCGGCGTGCAGTGCATAGGGTCGCGCCTCGCAGGGGCCGCCGCCGCGACGCGCTGAGCAAAGGTCCCCGACCGTAACATTTCACGGGGGTCGCGCGTTTGCGCTCTTGGGTCGGCGCCGAGCCCCTCCTCCTCCTCCTCCTCCTCCTCCTCCTCCTCCTCCTCCTCCTCCTCCGCCTCCGCCTCCTCCGCCTCCTCCTCCTCCTCCTCCTCCTCGGCGGCGACGCCACGGGCGCATCGCGCGAGAGGCGAGGGGAATCCAGCGCGCCCGCCCAAGAAGTCCGCACGGACCTCCGAAGAAGCAGCCGTGCTCACATCTGGCACTGCTGAAGCACAGCTCTGGCTGCGGATGGGTACCCTCGTGTTCTTCGTTTCTGGGCCTGGTAGTCCCCAAACCTGGTGGTGACAACACCCGGCGGTGAGTCTCGGTTTTTCGAGGATGGTCCCGTACGGTGGTGGGTCCAGGAGTCACAGAACCTGGCGGTGACCCCGTGTCTCGAAATCCAGCGGTGACTATTTGGGGATTCCAGGTCACCACTTGGTATCTCTCCACCGCGGAATGCCCTTCTGCTCGGCATCTCCACGCGGGCACCCGGGCCTTCGGCGAAGGGGCTCCTGCGTGCTCGACCAGCGTTCCTGTGGCCATCGTTCGGCACGAAGCGTTAATCATGCCCGGCCCCAGAGGTCGGAGCAGCACGACATCTGTCAAGAGACACTGCGTCACTTCAGGCAGAGACCCCCCTTCCACCACCGCCGCCTCCCCCGCCACTTCCACAGGAAGAAGGGAAAGAGAATGCAGAAGAGGGAGAGGGCGAAAGCGAGGACGAGGGGGAGGAGGGGGGATGGCACAACATCTTTCTGTGTCCTCCTCACCCTCCTTCCCCCCGTCCTCGCTTTCGCCGTCACCCTTCTCTACATCATATGTTCTTTCGCCCTCCGCCTCCACCTCCTCTACCTCTACCTCATCATTGCTATCGCCCTCCGCCTCCACCTTGTCCTTGCTGCCCGGAAACGCAGTGCACTGCGGCTCCAGGATCGTAGGGGCACCCATCGTCGGCGCCTTGGCGGGCGCCGTTGGCCTGGGCTACGGCGCGGCCTTCAAGGACTTCGCCATGAAGCAAGCGGGTCCCGACATGCACTGGTCTTGGAGCGTGTTCTCTGTTCGGGGGGACGCTGGGGCACCCCATGGTGGGCCCCCAGGGCCGTCACAAGCAGACTCGGGATGAGCAGCTGGTCTCGGGGCAGAAATCGGGGATCCAGGACCCGCTCCCCTGGCCGAAGAGCGAGCTCGAGAAGGGTCGAGGGCTCGAAGTCGAGGGGGATCAAGGGTCGAGCGGGGTTCTGGGGGCGAGGATCGAGGAGAGCCGAGCATCGAGGGCCCAGGCGCATGGAGCATCGGGGCGGGTCGGAGATCCGAGGCCGAGGCGCATCGAGAGGTCGCCGCGCATCGAGGCTCGAGGCGCGTCCAGGCCCGAGGCGCATCCGGGCTCGAGGCGCAGCCCGGCTCGAGGCGCGTCGGCGATCGAGGAGCGCCGAGGGCCGAGGCGCGCCCAGGGTCGAGGCGCGTCGAGGATGCGAGGAGGCCCGAGGGCCCGCTCCCCCCGCGGGGAGCCGCCCTCCCCCCCCCGCGGCCACCGCAAGCGAGGACGCGGCCAGCGGCGGGGCCCTCGCGGACGTGGCCGCGAAGGGCCGGGAGGCGCGCGGCGCGCCCGCGGCGGATGGCTACAGGTTCGGCGACCTCACCCGCGGCTTCGTGGCCTGCGGCAAGGCTCCTCGCCCCTCCTCGGGGCGGCGAGCGAGGGGGCATAAGCGAGAGGGAGGAGGGCTTCTCGGGAGGCGGCGGGGCTCCTCGGAAGCGAGCCCTGCCTTCCGAGAAGTGTTCCGTGCCCGCGGGGGAGGGCTTAGAACACTTCTCGGAAGGCTGGAGGACTTCCGAGAGCCTTCTGAGGAGGCCCGCACCCTCCCACTTCCCCCACCGGGCTGGCCGCCGACCAACGTATCAGCCATGGCGTGCCTCCTGCGATCGCTGGCGTCTCGTTGCGCCTCGACGGTAAAAGGTTCAGTGGGAGACTGGCACGTCAGTGTGCGTAAGACGCGCGGCCCTCGTCGCTCCTGGAGAGCTTCGCCCCCTCGGGTCATTCAGAGGCTGCGCGGAGCGTTTCGTCGTGGAGTTGGCTGGGAGTCTTGGCCCAGCACTGGTTCGGGCCAGCAAGGAGGGGGGGGGGGAGCGAGGTTCCAGGCTCTGGGTTCGAGTCGACGTTTGCCTTTTTCGGTCTCTGGGAGCCCTTTTCGGGCCCTGGGACCGTCAAAAACGGACCCGGGGTGAAACATTACACCTGATGAACTCCTGGGATAGTCCGAGGACCGATTTTGACCCGATTTCGGTTCGAGGTCCATCCAGTGCAGACCTCCGAGCAGCTTCCAAATCGGATGAGCAGAAGATTTAGAAGTTCGTTTGGGGGGCACTCCTGCGGCCCGCCCAACAGACTGTTCGACTCCAGTTCGAATCTAGTTCGACTACAGTTCGACTTTAGCTCGACTCACGTTCTGTTCAAGTAGTTCGACGACGCAAGTTCGACGCAGCTTCGACGCACAGGTGGGCCGAGTTGCTCCAGGAAGGTTCCAAGAACCAACATCTAAGAGGGTCGCAGGCATCGGACCATCCGACTCCTCTTCAAATTTCCGGCGCCGCTCTTTGCTCGTCGATGCTCCTGCCTCCTGGGCCCGTTGTCGGCCCCCGGGGTACTCAGAAAGTGGACCCGGGGCGAAAAGCCGTCTCCGGGGAAGTGGTCGGTGGCCCCTGGGGCCGCGGACCAAATCAGAAACGCACCATCGCATGTCTGGGGTTGCCGATACCGTGAAGTCGGGCCTGTGTCCCCCATACAGGGGGCTTTCGGACGACAAATTCTGAAAATACAGAGCAATATGCAACAGTAGCCAAACATACCAGAAACATCGTCCCCGGACTATGTCTGGAGTATTGTGGAATATTCCTCGGGAAGGGTCCCGCGGAGCGGCGGCATTGGCATCTTTCCAGACCTCCGACGCCTTGAGTTATCCACAGCGTGGGCCACTGCAGGGGTCCATCGAGAGCATCGAGAGACAACAACAGCCCATCCCCACACCCACCAGGACGGTGTTTACATTCTGTACTTTGTTGGGCCGCCTGTGGTTGTAGTCGACGCGCCCTCACAGTGACTCTTCCAAATCAACATTTTCTGTTTGCAGAAGTAGATTTTCGGTTTGATGTGTGTCAGCTTTCGCGCGTGATGGAATCCGCAGCTTCGTTTCTAAACGTGTTCCGTTGCGTGTGCGCGAACGCACTCTTGGAACAGTGTTCCAAGGAATCTCGTGCGCGGCATTTGTTACGAACAAGTTGTGGAGGTCATATATATATATATCACATATGTACTCCGAACGTCTCATTAATCAACCGGTGGGTGACAAACGTGAAAACGCGGCGCGGCCAACTCCCCCCCCGGCACCACCCCCGCGCCTCAGCAAGGAAGGGAACGAACCCCAGACCCCCCCTGGCACCCCCGCGGACGCGCCGCGGCCAAACCCCCCCGGGCACTCCAAGAGGGGGGCGATTATTAAGCGACCCAGAGTATAATATATATATAGAGAGAGAGAGAGAGAGAGATGCAATGTGTACATACACAGCCGTGACAAAAGTTTCTTCAATTTGCTATGATGAAGATTTCTCCCATCCCTCTCAAGATTCCTAACATGACATGATGCTGGGATCATTCGGCGGAGTAGTTTCCGATCCCGGAGACGTTGATAACTCTGTTACCCCAAAGCGGGATCGGAAACTACTCTGCGCCAAACCATATAGATTACCGAGCGGGATGCGATTGCGCCCGGAGTAGTTTTAGCAGAACTACCCCGAACTACTCCGCACGAGCGCGTCATTCCAAAAGGCAAATTGAGAGAAACTTTCGTCACGGCGATGTATAATATATAGATAGACATATAGACATATATATATATATATATATGTACACATATCAAGCACAACCCAGTGTTCGGCTTCGCCCGCCGCTCGACGGCTGCGTTGTCTGGAATCTGCCATGGGGCCCGCTCGGGGGCACAGGCAGCCGATCTTGCGGACGTCGGGCCGCAGGCCCCAGAGAGAAGTTTTGAGCAACAGAATTCGGGAGCCTTGAGACGGGGATCAATGCAAACGGGGGTCAGACAGAGCGCCCGATCTTGCAGGATCCTGCAAGGCCAGGGTCGTATTGACCCGGGTTTGGGTGAAGGATCTTGCAGGATCCTGCGGGATCCTTCGCATTGACCTGGGCTTGGGCGCAGGATCTTGCAGGATCCTGCAGGATTCTGCAAGGCCTGACCGGCCAGGGTCTGGAGTGACCCGGGATTCCCGAAAAATATGACGTGATGGGTGTGGGGATGGCTCGGGTTGCCTTGAGCTGAGTAGTTTTTGATGACGGCCACGGGGGCCCATGGGAGGGTCGCAAGAGCCAGACAACCACTGCAAACACGTCGTGCCCCGATGTCTGTTCCACGGGGGAGAAGATCTGGGCTTCTGGAGAATGTTTTGAATCTAGATTCTGGCGAGTTTCCTTGCATGGCATTTCCCCCCCCTCGCCCTCCCTTCTCCCCGCTCGTGCAGGCAACTGTCGATTTGCGTGATGTCCAGCTTTCCTTTGGGAGCTCGCAGGGGAATCCCCCCTCCCCCCTCCCCCCTCCATGCGAGCAGGCCTGCCAGGATCTGCTCGAAAACGCGTCTCCTGCTCTCCCGACCCAGACCTCCAACGTGATCTTTTGGCAACGCGAGGCCCCGCGAACTCGACCCGTTGCCCAGGGAGCAGGGCCCTTCCTCCCGAGTCATGTTTCGACGGTCCCGCGGCTGGGCGACGGCCCCCAGAGCCCGAACATTGCGAAATATGCCATCGGTCGTGATTGTTTCGCGTCGCGAGGGAACGACGACGACGACGACGACGACGACGACGACGACGACGACGACGACGACCACGACGACGACGACGACCACGACGACCACGACGACCACGGCGACGACGGCGACGACGATGACGCTTTCTGGTGCTGTGCTGCTGCGCGCGTCGGCCGTGACTGCTTCCCGCCGCGAGGGGGAGCGGGGGAAGGACCGTGACTGTTTCGCGCTGCGAGGGGGAGCGGGGGAAGGAGGCCCGCGGCGCCGGCGCCGGCGACGCGTGCGCGCTCGGCGACTTCACGCGCGGCCTCTCCGCGAGGCTGGGCGGCAGGGCGCGCTCCGCCGTGGCCGAGCCGGCGCGGGGGGCCGCGGCCTGAGGCCCCCGGGGTGCCCCGCGCGGCGGGAGCCGGCTGCCAGCGCCAAAGCAGCAGTCTTCAGGGTGGCTTCCCCGGGCCCCCATGGGGCAATGAAGATTATCCTGGCTCGGGGGCGGAAAAGAGGGGGGTGATGACTAGGGGGGCGTGGATATCATGGCGGGGGCAATGATATTTCCCAGATTTTATGGCGCCTCTTCTTATTTCATTACGTCCCTGGCCCCCCCGCTGGGCGGCGCACATGCCGCCGGTCAAGATTTGCACCCCCCCCTCTTGGACACCCCCCTCTTGGCCGCTCCCGAAGCGCCAAAGCAGCAGTCTCCAGAGTGGCTTCCCCGGGCCCCCATCGGGCAATGAAGATTATCCTGGCGAAGGTCCCAACCATGTGCAGTTGTGGGTACCGTAGTTGTGAATATCTGCTCCGGTGGAGCTCCCTACGGGGCCACGAGGCGCTGCACTGGGCGGGGGGGAACGCTGTACTGTGTGGGTGGTGTGCCGAATTGGGTTTCCGGGACGCATGCGGACGGTCCCACTGAGGGCTTCGGTGGAGCTCCCTATGTGGCCACGAAGCGCTCTATTAAGTGAGTGAAAATGCCAAATTGTGTTTCCGGGACGCATGCGGACGATCTCACTGGGGGCTTCGGTGGAGCCCCCCATGGGGCCACGAAGCGCCACACTGCGCGGGTGAAAATGCCAAATTACATTTCCCGGACGCATGCGGACGGTGGCATTGGGGCCTTGGGTGGAGCCCCCTAAAGGGCCACGAAACGCTGCACTGGGTGTGTGAAAATGCCAAATTTGACTTCCGGGACGCATGCGGACGGGGACACTGGGGCCTTCGGTGGAGCTCCCTATGGGGCCACGAAACGCTGTACTGGGTGTGCGGGACGCGTGCGGACGGTAGCGCTAGGACCTTCGGTGGGTCTCCCTATGGGGCCACGAAACGTTGTACTGGGCGTGCGGGACGCATGCGGACAGTAATTAGCATTGGGACCTTCGGTGGGGCTCCCTATGGGGCCACGAAGCGCTGTACTGGGTGGATGAAACGCAGGGAGGGGGGGGAGGAGGGCCACGAAACGCTGCACTTGGTGTGCGGGACGCATGCGGACAGTAGCACTGGGACCTTCGGTGAAGCCCCCTATGGGGCCACGAAGCGCTGTACTGGGTGTGCGGGACGCATGCGGACGGGGACACTGGGGCCTTCGGTTCGGTGGGGCTCCCTATGGGGCCACGAAGCGCTGTATTGGGCGTGCGGGACGCATACCGACGGTAGCACTGGGACCTTCGGTGGGGCTCCCTATGGGGCCACGAAACGCTGTACTGGGTGGGTGAAAGGGGGAGGAGGGCCACGAAACGCTGTACTGGGTGTGCCGGACGCACGCGGACCGTGGAGGAGGAGGGGGAAGAGGAGGAGAGGAGAGCGCGGGGACCGTCTCTTCAAAACGAGGGCCCCACACCACAGGATGGTTGGGAAAAAATCGTTGCGCGAGGTTTTTCCATGTGCTCGGCCTCTGGAGGCCCTTGCAGGTTCTCGGGACCGTCAAACGACGACTCAGCTTCTGGGGTTCGGGGCTTCTGGGGTTCGACGTTATGAAAACATCATGACGTCGGGGGTCTGGGTCGAGAGCACGACACGACGTTATTCGCGATTCGCGGTTCGGTTCCGATTCCTCCTCTTCTCCCCCTGGGGGGGCGGCGCGAGAGCGCGAAGTTATTCGCGCTTCGCGCAGCGCGAAGCGCGAAGCTGGGCTCCCTTAATTCTAGTCTCTTAAGGCTTACGTTTCAGATCCCGAGTGCGAGTAGGCAGGCGACGCGAAGGCTCGTATGCCGTCGACTCACCGGAGATCCGAAGCTAGCCCGTTCGTTCCTGCCGCTCTTCGGTTCACAGTGTGATGTTTCAGCATGTTTTGAACTGATGCTCGAGCAGCTTCTTTTGCTCGGCGGGTGATCTTGCGCTTGCGGTCGTAGCGTGCCGCTGGTGCACGATGAGGTGATGTGCCGCGAGTTGGTCAGCGATGCGATGCCGGGAGAAAGACTCCCGTCCCTTCCTCTCCTCACTCCTGCTCCGCCTCCTGGAAAGAGTTCTCCCTGTGAGCTCACGTCATTCTGCCCCCACCAGGGCGCGGGCAGAGGAGCCCCCCAACCGCACCCTTGGTTGTCGGCGCGAACGGGGGGGTGGCACGAGCGGGCGGCCTTCTGAGAAGGCGGGGGGAGCTTTGCAAGCAAGCACAACAGCATCGGGCAGGGGCCCAGGCGTCCATATAAAAAAATCCCGAATCGAGAAGGGCCCTACACACTGTTCATTTCTAATCATTCGAAAGCTCTTTGATTTTTTGGGGGCCAAGATCCTTTCATTTCTAATTGCTCTATCCTGGGCCTCTTCCTGGCCACTAGGGGGCCAGGAACAATTAGAAACGAGCACACATAGAAATGAGCACGATTAGAAATGAACGACGCGTACAATCCTTGACACTCGACGATCTGATTTTGCCAATGCGCAGCCCCAGAGGTCCCGACTGCTTTCCCAGGGGTGGTGTTGCGTCCCGGATCCACTTTTGACAGTCCGAGGTTCCGATCTGACGCGCCCTCGAGGCCTGCATCGAGGAAGAAAGCTGGGATCGAACACCTCGCATCCTCAGAGACCTGGGATCTCAGAGGTTCACTCGCCTCCTTAGAAGGCACCCGCTGTGCGCGCCACCAGCCCCGCCCCGCCCGGCGGAGTTCTGGCGGAGCGCCGGCCGGAGGCCTCCGGGCCCGAATCCTGGCAGTCCCTCGCCCGAGGTCCCCGTGAGCAGCAGATCGGGATCCCCAGGGCCCTGCAAAAGTCCCCGTGCACAGCAGATCGGGTTCCCCGCGCCCGAGGTCCCCGTGCAAGGAAGTCAGGGGGAGCCAATACAGTCAACCCGCATGCAGTAAGGATGGGCGACTTTCCAGGGTTCACCTTGCATCCTTCTCCTGCGGCCCATCCTTGGCCGCTTTCGCTGGCCGCGCCCCGCTCGCAACTTAGCGACACGGCCTTCCAGGGCCCTTGCATCCTTATCGTGCGTCCTTATGACACAGGCTGACTGTAGGAAGGACGACGAGGAGGAGCATGCCGAGGAGCGGGAGGAGCCCGAGCCGGAGCAGGGGCAGGTCAGGGCAGGCGGGCTCACTGCGACTCGGCGTTCGGGTGAGCTCTTCCGCCGCAACGGACCCTGACCCCCAGCCGGAGTCCCCGCGGGGCCCTGGAGGCCTCCGGGGACGCGCAACGGGACAGAAACCTGCATCCTCGACCATCGGGGGCCGAGGGCGACAAGGTTACCGGAAGGCGGGATGCACATGGCGCTGCCAGGTTGTACGAGAGTTGGACACATGTCTTTCCAGCGCCCAGACCTCCTTTGGTCAGAACCACTGGGCCACCGCGTGTATATTTAGCGCGTGGTCACCAGATGCTCCACACGTCAAAACCCAGCAACGTGCAGTTCCAGCTTCTGTTCGCAACGCGCACCGTTAGGTGACAGGGAACCCGATCCAGACCGAAAAAGAGAAAGTTCCCGAGGGTTGGTTCGGGATTTCCCTTGCGATGAAAAGCCATAACCAAGCCTAGATGGTTCTCTCCTCCTTGGTCTTGTGATGGTTTCCATCCTTTTTTTCGGAGGTTGCCACAGGTGGTCTTGGCTCAAGGTGTCCCTAGCTTTTCGCGCCATTCTGCAGTCCCAGTGAGCAGTGAGGGGTGGGGGTGCCCTGGAGGCCATCGGGGGCCTTCCTGGAGATCCTGGCGACAGTTTCGACCAGGGGCAACTTGAGCAACATCCGAAAGCTCGTCACTGTAGACGTCCGACTTTTTTTTCGACACGGGATTCCCAGAAGTCCCGACCCTTTCTCCAGGACCGGCTTTTCATCTTGAGTTGTAGTTTGACAGTCCCAGGCCCGGCGATGACCCCCAGAGGCCGAAAGCGGCAGAACAAATCCGTGTTCATGGTTGTTGAGGTCCTGGGTGCGTGTTTCCAATGTCTTGGCGGTGCTCTCAAGACGCGGTGCCAGTTGGGACCCTGGTCATCGGACCGCCCCGTAGAGCTAGGTCATGGAGCCTCCTCGTGGCTGAGGCTCGCCGCGGTCAGAAGAGCCCATTCGTTCTTCATTTGGCGTTCCTCATGTCATGGCAGCACGATGACTGCACTCCTGCCCCTCCCAGGGCACGAACCTATCCAGATCCACCGCCGGTTCCCGAGGCGATGGGTCTTCCGACGTCGCGTTATCCACCGCATGGACTTCCAGAGGCCTGGACCGATCCCTGGGACCAGCTTTTCGACCCACGCCGCTGTTTGACGTTCCCGCGGGACTGTCAAAGCAACGGCTCTTACGACACGTCTACTAACTCTTCGCTGTTCTACTTATGGCTGACTCAGCTAAAGTCGGCTACGACACACTTGGTAAGTGGCTAGTAAGTGCTATTACCGCTCAGCTACCCTCCACAAGTGGTCAGCCAACTGGGCCATAAGTGGCTTCGCTGATGATTCTGATCGCGGCCAGCTCCATGACCAGCTCACGTCCCCTGGACCGAGATGATGATGATGATGATGATGATGAGGAGGAGGAGGAGGAGGAGGAGGAGGAGGAGGAGGAGGAGGAGGAGGAGGAGAAAGAGAGGAGGAGGAGGAGGAGGAGGAGAAGAAAGAGGAGGAGGAGGAGGACGAGGAGGAGGAGGAGGACCCCCTCCTCCTCCTCCTCCTCCTCCTCCTCCTCCTCCTCCTCCTCCTCCTCCTCCTCCTCCTCCTCCTCCTCGTCCTCCTCCTCCACCTCCATGACCAGTTCACGTCCCCTGGCACCTCGGCCGACCCCTCACCGAGCGCGGCGGGCATCCGAGCAGGGGCAGGCGAGGCCCCCCAGCGGCCGACGAGCGGCCGAGCGCTCCTCGGCGCCACCGTCTCGGCATCGCTCGGACGTGTGCACTTTTCCTTCGGCGAGGACCATCGAGGAGCCTCCTCCTCCTCGTCCTCCTCCCCCTTCTCCTCCTCCTCCTC